TGATCTGTCTAATATTGACAATGGAGTATTAAAGTCTCCCATTATTATTGTGTGGGAGTCTAAGTCTCTTTGTAGGTCTCTAAGAACTTGCTTTATGAATCTGGGTGCTCTTGTATTGGGTGCATATATATTTAGGATAGCTAGATCTTCTTGTTGCAGTTATGTAATGGTAAAGGCCTTTACCATTATGTAATGGCCTTCTTTGTCTCTTTGATCTTTGTTGGTTTAAAGTCTGTTTTATCAGCGACCAGGATTGCATCCCTTGCCTTTTTTTTTTTTTTTTTTTTTTTTTTTTTTTTTTTTTTTTGCTTTCCATTTGCTATGTAGATCTTCTTCCATCTCTTTATTTTGAGCCTATGTGTGTCTTTGCTTGTGAGATGGGTCTCCTGAATACAGCACACCGATGAGTCTTGACTCTTTATCTAATTTGCCAGTATGTGTCTTTTAATTGGGGCATTTAGCCCCTATACATTTAAAGTTAATATTTTTATGTATGAATTTGAATCTGTCATTATGATGCTAGTTGGTTATTTCACCCATTAATTGATGCAGTTTCTTCATAGTGTCAATGGTCTTTATACTTTTGCATGTTTTTGCAGTAGCTGGTACTAGTTGTTCCCTTCCGTGTTTAGTGCTTCCTTCCGGAGATCTTGTAAGGCAGGTTGGGTGGTGACAGAATCTCCCAGTATTTGCTTGTCTGTAAAGGATTTTATTTCTCCTTCACTTATGAAGTTTAGTTTGACTGGATATGAAATTCTGGGTTGAAAATTCTTCTCTTTAACAATGTTGAATATTGGCCCCCACTCTCTTCTGGCTTGTAGGGTTTCGGCAAGAGACCCGCTGTTAGTCTGATAGGCTTCCGTTTGTGGGTAACCCAACCTTTCTCTCTGACTGCCTTTAACATTTTTTTCCTTCATTTCAACCTTGTTGAATCTGACAATTATGTGTCTTGGGGTTGCCCTTCTTGAGGAGTATCTTTGTGGTGTTCTCTGTATTTCCTGAATTTGGATGTTGGCCTGCTTTGCTAGGTTGGGGAAATTCTCCTGGATAATATCCCAAAGAGTATTTTCTAACTTGGTTCCATTCTCCCCGTCACATTCCAGGTACACCAATCAAACATAGATTTGGTCTTTTCACCTAGTTCCATATTTCCTGGAGACTTGGTTCATTTCTTTTCACTCTCTTTTCTCTAATCTTGTTTCTTACTTTATTTCATTAATTTGATCTTCAATCACTGATATCCTTTCTTCTGCTTGATCTAATGGGCTATTGAAGCTTGTGTATGCATCACGAAGTTCTCATTCTGTGGTTTTCAGCTCCATCAGGTCATGTAAGCTTTTCTCTACACTGGTGTTTCTAGTTAGCCATTCGTCTAACCTTTTTTCAAGGTTTTTAGCTTCCTTGCAATGGGTCAGAAAATGCTCCTTTAGCTTGGAGAAGTTTGTTATTACCGACCTTCTGAAGCTTACTTCTATCAACTCATCAAACTCATTCTCTGTTCAGTTTTGTTCCCTTGCTGGTGAGGAGTTGTGTTCTTTTGGAGGAGAAGAGGTGTTCTGGTTTTTGGAATTTTCAGCCTTTCTGCTCTGGTTTCTACCCATCTTTGTGGTTTTATCTACCTTTGGTCTTTGATGTTGGTGACCTACAGATGGGGTTTTGGTGTGGATGTCGTTTTTGTTGATGTTGATGCTATTGCTTTGTTTGTTAGTTTTCCTTCTAACAGACAAGCCTCTCAGCTGCAGATCTGTTGGAGTTTGCCAGAGGTCCACTCCAGACCCTGTTTGCCTGGGTGTCACCAACGGAGGCTGCAGAACAGTAAATATTGCTGCCTGGTCCTTCCTCTGGAAACTTCAACCCAGAGGGGCACCTGTCTGCATGAGGTGTCTGTCGGCCCCTACTGGGAGGTGTCTCCCAGTCAGGCTACATGGGGGTCAGGGACCCACTTGAGGAGGCAGTCTGTCTGTTATTGGAGCTCAAATGCCATGCTGAGAGAACCACTACTCTCTTCAGAGCTGTCAAGCAGGGATGTTGACGTCTACAGAGGCTGTCTGCTGCCTTTTGTTCAGACATGCCCTGCTCCCAGAATTGGAATCTAGAGAGGCAGTAGGCCTTGCTGAGCTGTAGTGGGCTCTGCCAAGTTCAAGTTTCCCTGCAACTTCATTTACACTGCGAGCATAGAACGGCCTATACAAGCCTCAGCAATGGTGGACGCCGCTCGCCCTGCCAAGGTCCAGCTTCCCAGGTCGAACTCAGGCTGCTGTGCTAGCAGTGAGCAAGGCTCCATGGGCATGGGACCTGCTGATCCAGGCATGGGAGGGAATCTCCTGGTCTGCCAGTTGCAAAAACCATGGGAAAAGTACAGTATTTGAGTAGGAGTGTACTGTTCCTCCAGGTACAGTCACTCATGGCTTCCCTTGGCTAGGAAAGGGAAATTCTAGCCCTTGCACTTCCCAGGTGAGGTGATGCCATGCCCTGCTTCGGCTTGCCCTCCATGGGCTGCACCCAGTGTCCAACCAGTCCCAATGAGATGAACCAGGTACCTCAGTTGGAAATGCAGAAATCACCCATCTTCTGCATTGATCTTGCTGGGAGCTGTAGACTGGATCTGTTCCTATTCAGCCATCTTGGAAACACCAACCCCACATTATTAATATTTTCAAAACACCAACTTCTAGTTTTGCTGATCTTTTGAATGTTTTTTTGTGTCTCAATCATCTTCAGTTCAAATCTGATTTTGTTTCTTTTCTGTCTTCTGCTAGCTTTGTGGTTGGTTTGCTCTTGCTTCTCTAGTTCTTTTAGTTGTGATGTTAGGTCATTAATTGGATATCTTCCTAACTTTTTGATGTGGGCATTTAGTGCTATAAATTTCCCTCTTAACATTGCCTTATTTGTGTTCCAGTGGTTCTGATACATTGTATCTTTGTCCTCATTAGTTTCAAATAACTTCTTGATTTCTGCCTTAATTTCATTATTTACCCGAAAGTTATTCAGGAGCAGGTTGTTAATTTCTATCTAATTGTATGGTTTGGGGTCATTTTCTTAGTCTTGATTTCTATTTTTTTTTTTTTTTTTGGACTGTGGTCTGAAAGTGTGATTGATATAATTTTGTGGGGTTTTGTGCATTTTCTGAGCATTGTTTTATGTTCAATCACATGGTCAGTTTTAGAGTATGTGCCATGTGGCAATAAGAAGAAGGTATATTCTGTTGTTTGGGGGTGGAGATTTTTGTAAGTGTCTGTTAGATCCATTTGTTTCAGTGTTAGTTGAAGTCCTGAATATCTTTTGTTAATTTTCTGATTCAATGATCTGTCTAATACTGTCAGTGGTGTGTTGAAGTTTCCCACTATTTTTGTGTGGTAGTCTAATTCTTTTTGTAGGCCTCTACGAACTTGCTTTATGAATCTGGTTGATCCTGTGATGGGTGCATGTATACTCAAGATATACTGAAGATATACTTAAGACCTAACCTAAGATAGTTAGGTCTTCTTGTTCAATTGAAACTTTTACCATTATGTAATGCCTTTTTATGTCTTTTTTGATCTTTGTTGGCTTAAAGTCTGTTTTGTCTGAAATTAGGATTGCCACTTCTGCTTTTTTTCTGATTTCCATTTGCTTGATAAATTTTCCTCCATCTGTTTTTCCTTTTGAGTCTATAGGTGTCATTGCATGTGAGATGGGTCTCTTGAAGACAGCATACCATTGGGTCTTGCTTTTTTATCCAGCTTACCACTCTGTGCCTTTTAATTGGGGCATTTAGCCCACTTACATTCAAGGTTAGTTTGGTGTGGATTTTATCCTATTATTTTGTTGTTAGCTGGTTATTATGCAGGTTTGTTTATATGGTTGTTTTATAGTGTCACTGGTCTGTGTACTTAAGTATGTGTGGGTTTTTTTGGTCTGGTAATTGTCTTTTCTTTCAATATTTAGTGCTTCTTTCAAAAACTTTTGTAAGATAGGTTGGGTGGTAATAAATTCCTTTAGCATTTGCCTGTCTGAAAAGGATCCTGTCACTCCTTCACTTAGGAAGCTTAGTTTGGCTGGATATGAAATTCCTAATTGGAGTTTTTTTTTTTTTCCTCTAAGAATGTTGAATGTAGCACTCCCCTCCCCCACCCCCATTTCTTCTGGCTTGTAGGGTTCCTGCTGAAAGGTCCACTGTTCATTTGATGGAAATCTACTTGTAAGTGATCTGTCGTTTCTCTCTAGCTGCCTTTAACTTTCTTTCTTTCATTTCAACTTTGGAAAATCGGATAATTATATGTCTTGGGGGTGATCTTGTGTAGAATCTTTCAGGGATTCTCTGTATTTCTTGAATTTGAATGATGACCACTATAGAGAGGTTGGGGAAGTTATCATGGACAATATCCTAAAATATATGTTCCAAGTTGCTTACTTTCTCCCCATCTTTTTCAGGGATGCCACTGGTTCATATATTTGCCCTTCTTACATAATTCCATACTTATCAGATATTTTATTCATTCCTTTTTATTCTTTTTGATTTATTTTTGCCTGATTGTATTATTTCAGAGTACTAGTTTTCAAGCTCTGACATTATTTCCTCAGCTTGGTCTATTTTGCTATTAATACTTGTGATTGCATTGTGAAATACTTGTAGTGTGTTTTTTCAGCAATATTAGGACAGTTAGGTTTTCTCTTATACTGGCTATTTCATCAGTCAACTCCTGTATCATTTTATTATATTCTTAGTTTCCTTGGATTGGGTTTTGTCATGCTCCTGAATCTGACGATCTTCATTCCTATCCATATTGTGAATTCTATTTCAATCATTTCAGCCATCTCAGCCCTGTTAAGAAGCCCTGTTTGAGAAGTAGTGTGGTCAGTTGGATGACATAAGACACTGGAGATTTGAGTTGCCAATGTTCTTGTGTTGGTTCTTTCTCATCTCTTTGGGTGTTTCTCTAACTGTGGTGTAGAGTAAGTACTGTCAGTAGACTTCTTTTCTGGATGTTTTCATAGGACCCAGGCACTGTCCAGGATCTAAAAGTATGGAACATTTCACAGATTTGCATGAAATCCTTTTGCAGAGGCCATGCTCTTCTTCTCAGTGTCATTCCAATTTTAGTATATGTGCTGCTCATACAGGCACTATAGACTTTCATTTGCTTGAATTTTTACATTTAACATGGTCAATTAATAAAAATATGTATAATAAACAAAGTAATGTAGTGATTTCTTTAGCAGAAGAAAGAATCCCTTGAGGACAAATCAAGCCTCATCTTGTAATTTTTCATTCAACCTGATTAAATCCATAGAGTAGCCTATTTTCCTTTTACTTATGTAGTTCTTTAAGCTGCTCCTCACAGTTGGATAAAGTTTTTAAAGCAGTTCAGCTCTTCATTTTATCTCAAGTGCCTTCTCATTAATACCCACAGAGGGACAAGACAATAATGTTAAAACAGCAAGACAGAAGAAGAAGTTCAAGAGACAATTACATCCGCAACATCTCCTCTTGACTAGTGACTTAATTTCACAAAATTACAGTTTTGGAAAAGCGCTAGAGGGTATCATGTTAAGTCTTAAAAATCTGTCATAAGTGGTCTCCATATCCTCTCTAAAAATCTGCATTAAGCAAAAAGGAATGTCTTCTCTCCCAAGATGACTCATTCTAATTTCTGACATCCACAAATATTATTTATTTTGTACTGAGGCAATTATCTACTTCCTTTTGGCATCTACATATTAGTCTATTTTTAGTCTGTTTCCTTCTTTTAATCCCCTCCAAAGTTTGCTTTCCTTAGCTGCAGCCATTTTCTCCAATGCCTCAATCTCTCCCTTTCATTTAAAGCACTGCAGGCTTAGTTTTTTAAATAATTGATTTCAGTCATTAGGCTTCCCTCCCATTACTCCTCATCAAGGGCCACCCTAACTTTCTTAGAAACAAAATTTGAAAGCAGCTAATTCTGAGAAGGCTCATGGATAAAATCAGCAGTGAGACAACCAGCTGCCCATGGCAGGAGGAATCCAGCCACACTGCTGCTCTAGCATAGGTCTCAGCTTTAACAGGAAATCAAAATGTCCCCTGGGAAAGTATGAAGAAAAGTTTATTTCACTACCACAATGTTGTCACCTTTGCCATGAAACAAAAAATAAAAAGAAAAGTTAGGTTTGCATAGATGCAACCCAAACTGAAAGTTAGAATAAAATGGATATTTTTCCAAAGTGTAAAAAATGTCTTTCTCTCTTGACCCACTCACACATTTTGGAATTTATTCCAAGAAGATAATCTAAAATATCTCCCAAAGATTTTCACAGCAAGTTGTTCACTACTATTACTTATAATAGCAAAATCATGGGAAATAAACTAAGTGTCTGTAATTTGGTAATGATAGAAAGTTATCAAAATCTATATATGAGATATCTAAAATAGACTCATAAAAGCAGAGATTAGAATGGTGGTTAGCAAGGCACAGGGAGAGGAGGAAGTAGGGAGTTGTTCAATGGGTATAAAAATTCAGTTACACAGGATGAAACTGGACGTTAGTTATACTAAGTTACCCCAAAATTCCTGAGTATAAACTGAAAATATAAAACCATAATATATAATTATTTCATAAATAGCTATGTATAAACATCTTGGCAAAATGTATATAACCATGCACTCCAGCCTGGGTGAAAAGAGAGAAACTCCATATCAAAAATAAATAAATAAACCACTACATACTGCATCAGGCAGGAACTGCATGGTTATATATATTTTGCCAAGATGTTTATATATAGCTATATAAGAAATAATTATATATTATGGTTTTATATTTTCAGTTTATACTCAGGAATTTTGGGGTAACTTAGCAAAAGAAACTATCAGCAGTGTAAAATAGGCAACCTACAGAATGGGAGAAAATTTTTGCAATCTACTCATCTGACAAAGGGCTAATATCCAGAATCTACAAAGAACTCAAACAAATTTACAAGAAAAAAACAGACAACCCCATCAAAAAGTGGGCAAAGGACATGAACAGACCCTTCTCAGAGAAGACATTTATGCAGCCAACAAGCACATGAAACAATGCTCAGCATCACTGGCCATCAGAGAAATGCAAATCAAAACCACAATGAGATACCATCTCACACCAGTTAGAATGGTGATCATTAAAAAGTCAGGAAACAACAGGTGGTGGAGAGGATGTGGAGAAATAGGAACACTTTTACACTGTTGGTGGGACTGTAAACTGGTTCAACCATTGTGGAAGACAGTGTGGCAAATCCTCAAGGATCTAGAACTAGAAATACCATTTGACCCAGCCATCCCATTACTGGGTATATACTCAAAGGATTATAAATCATGCTGCTATAAGGACACATGCACACATGTTTATAGAGGCACTATTCAAAATAGCAAAGACTTAGAACCAACCCAAATGTCCATCAATGACAGACTGCATTAAGAAAATGTGGCACATATACACCATGGAATACTATGCAGCCATAAAAAAGGATGAGTTCGTGTCCCTTGTAGGGACATGGATGAACCTGGAAACAATCATTCTCAGCAAACTATCACAAGGACAAAAAACCAAACACCACATGTTCTCACTCTTAGGTGGGAATTGAACAATGAGAGCACTTGGACACAGGAAGGGGAACATCACACACCAGGGCCTGTTGTGGGGTTGGGGGAGTGGGGAGGGATAGCATTAGGAGATAGAGGTAAGGGGTTCAGCACACCAACATGGTACATGTATACATATATAACAAACCTGCACCTTGTGCACATGTACCCTAGAACTTAAAATATAATAATAAAAAAAGAAATTCGAATTAGAAAGTTGGGCTCAAAAAAAGAAAAAAAAGAATTAGATCTCCATTTATATATGTAACATAATAAAATGGTAATCACTGTTATGTTTTTCCTCCTCTTGACAAGTGTTAAGTGAGTATCACCTTTCCCAATGTTTACTCGCTTTTGAAAGAGACTCTTTTATACTTTTCAGTGTACACTATTTTTATCCTGATAGTTCTGCTGCTTCCAGTGAGACTTCTAACAGAAATGATCATCAGAGATTCTTGGGCACCGCCTTGCACTTAGGCATTAAATCCCGTCAGTGATGTGACCTTTAAGCAAGGGGCAGTTCGGTTTTTACTTTCTCATATACATTTACAGGGGATTTCAAAAAATTCATTTTATTGCTTCCAAACTTAAATCAATATTTCACTACCTCTAGCCACTTTATTAGCAGAGAAGTTTTATTTTTAGAACAGTGTTACAGATCAGCATTATCCTACAACTCCCACCAGTATTAACCTTAATATAATAATTTAAATTTCCAAGATTTGAATTAGAAAAGAAAGTTTTAAGCTGCTAATTGTCCCTCGGGTACTTTCTTCTGGGCCCTGAGACATAGAATCTCCCTAGACAGATCGATTTTTCACATGCCCTAAGTATGCACTGAAAGGGGCTGTGCTGAACAGCTTTCACCTTCTTTCTGGTTTGTCAATTCCTAAAATGATGCCCTAGCCACAAAATGGTGAAACTCTAGAGTATAGGTTTTAGAATTTGACCAACATCAGTTCAAATCCTGACTATGAATTATAGAATATGCATTATGCAGCAAGTTACTTGATCTCTTTGTGCTTCTGTTTCTACATCTTCATCTGCAAAACATGGGCCATAATACTTGAAGATAAAATAAGGTAATTTAAGTGTTTTGCAGAGTGACTTTCATGTATTAAGTGTCAATGAGTGGTAGCTATTTTTGGCAACAACTTTTCATCCTTATTTGTATGGCTAGGACTTATCTCTCCTTTCCTGGCACACAAAAAAAGACAAGGAAAAGTATGTAGAATCCCAGATACAAACTAGTATTTTTCATAGTTAAACCCAAGATAAATTAACAACAATATCTTCAATAATACCAACAATCATACTGAGCAAGTGCCTGGAAACAAAAAGAAAATTAATCCTTGATTTCAAAAGGCTTATGGATCAAGAAAATTCTATTAGAAATACCTTGTCTATAAAATGACATTGTCTGTATGATAATATATCCAAAAAAGCTTTCCATTTCTGCTTCTGCAACAGCAATTTCGCTTTGATTTGCTTATATTTTTTATAAATACATACTTTAGCATATCTACATGACCCCAAACTGTGAGAATTAAATGAATTTTTAGTCATATAGTTACTACATTCCTATAACTAAGTGTGTTTAGGCAATAATATTTTATGCCTGCTTCTAATTTAGACTTCCTTGTTTACACAACCTCTGGGCTTTGTAGGCTAATGTTTTCAAAATCTTATTTGTATATCTTACCTATAATCTCTAAAACTTAGGATATGCCCCTAAAATAAGTAGTATTTTGTGAGCTATTAAAAACAATCACACAAACAGAATGCTCTAATAGAATCTAAGTAGTATTAGAGGACTGATTATGTAAAGCCTGTGCAACATGCTCTTTTAACTCTATTACTTGTGTCATTGCTGACAAAATATTTATTGATCAGGAAATAGAAGTAGGTACTGCAAACACAGAGAAGTATGACTTTGACTATGCATTCAAGAAGAATGTGTTACTTAGTATGACTTTGATTACTAAAAAAAAATCCATTTCTTCTTGTTATCCACCCCCAGGAAAACTGTTCCAACTGTAAGACAAGACAATATGGGTATAACCTAACAAGTAAGACTATGCTATAGATAATAAAATGTAGGAGCAAGCTCCCTACATGTGGTTGGATTTCCCTAAGCTGAAAAGTTGAAATGTAATGGTGTTTAATTAATTAGATGGACTTCCTTTGATTAATCAAATCAACTGACATTTTTAATATGAAGTAGGTCATTTAATAACAATTTCAGCCTACTGCTCTTATGCCTAAAGCTCTTAAAAATATCAATAAATAGGACACACCATAAACACTACAGGTGCAGATGCAAAACAAACTTACATAAATTTAGATGATATTAATGCTTAAAATTCTATAAAAAGATGCATATTATGCACAATACATGGGATTAATGCATTTCTTTCTAATAATGTTTCCTTGCTGCAAAGCGGGCTAGAGTCTGTATTTTTCTTTTTTCTTTTTTTCCTTTTTTTTTTTTTTGAGACGGAGTCTCACTCTGTCGACCGGGCTGGAGTGCAATGGCC